TCTGATATTTTGAAAATCATTCATTAGTTTTTGGGGGTATTATACCTTTGGAACATTTTCAGAAATTTCTCAAAAATATTCTCCAATATCTCCAAATATTTTCTTTAAATTTCTTATAAGAATAGAGTAAAATGCACTCATAAATGTGACATAGGTCCAATTTTCACGATTCACTCTAAATTTTCGAAAATTTCAAAAATTTGAATTTTTTTCGGTGTCTTTCTACAATTATAAAATTAAAGATAGAGATTTTTCCTTCAAATGAAATGTGTTGTTCATAATTTGTTCTTTCATTAAGGTCATGAACATTTTTTTGAAAATTCTACAAGTTTTCGCGCAATATTGCCTGCGATTTGTGCAATTTTTAAAAAAGTTACAAATACCAGATTTTCTCGAAAATGGCTCCAATTTTTATTCTTTAAACTTTTAATAGGGATTGTGCTAAATTTACTCTATAAGATGACCTAAACGCCATATTGCTCTATTCTTTTCTTTCTAAAGTTACAAATATGTATTTTTTTACTTGCCTCATCCGTTGTTAATATTTACATTGGCGTCAATTTGTTAACATTATTGTATTATATTTATGAGTATATGTGCTTTGAATAATGTCAGATAAAACGTCTCGTAAAATCAACTGTTTTCTGTGACAACTAGCTCAAAATTTCGCAATTTCAGAAACACTTAAACACCATTTTCTCAAAAACGGTTGCTACTTTTTTCTTTAAACGTTTCGAAAGGATAGTGGTAATTGCTCTCGTTAATATTATGTTACGTTCATTTCGGTGTATTTTTTGTTTTTTAACATTACACAAATGTATTTTTTTTAATCTCTCCAGCCGGTAATATGCGCATTTACAGCAGTTTGTAAACATTATTGTATTTCTGAGTTGAAGTGCTTGAAATTACTTCAAGTTAAACATTTTTAAAAATCACATCTTTGCTGGAAAAAATGCTTTAAATTTCGAATTAACTGTAGCACTTAAAAGCCATTTTCTTAAAATCGCGCTTAAAATCTCCACATTTTTCAAAGGAAATTGCCATTTAGGACACAGTTTACTGTTCTTTAATATTCTTGAAATAATATTTTCGTTTTGTTATTCAAAAACCGAAAAATGAAGAAAATTTCAAAACAATGTACTTTGGGCGGCGATAGATTGCAGCTGGCAATATGTGGCAAGTTCCTATCGCAACCGAGACCAGAGGAAATCGAAAATTAACACGGGAAAGTCTGTGCCATTCGTAGCATCACTAGTTCAGTTGTTATTTAGTGTGGGACTGCAGTGTTGATAGTTAGAAGTCTAGCAACATCTTTCAAATTCCTTTTTGGCATTTAAATTAGCAAGAATCTAAATTAGAATCCAAGAAGCATCTAGCAAAATAATGAAGATGTATCGAAATCATCTAAAGACGGATCTTATTGTCCTCTATACAATTTCAACTTGGGATTAACATGTTTGCAGTGAATATGTGATTTGTTTGCCAACTTACATTTTTTGCATTTTGTTTAAATGTTGATGAATTGAAAAATATTTTGACGTTCGAGTAATGAACGTCTTGATGTACGCACATTGTAAACATTACATTTCAAAAGGTTTTAACGGTTTCACTTGATCCGTCTTTTGAAAGTGTATGGCTAAATTTGACGAGACCCATGAGTGATATCAATTTAATGTAAAATAATGTAATTACCATTTTCAAACTAGAGTTTAGAGTTCAGTTAATGATCACGTGTATCGTTTAAATTTTGATCGATACTCCTTTTTACCTTCACGTACGTATATACGAAGTAATATACATAGTATAGGGAAAGTGATGTAATGCTGTGGAAAATCGATTTCGAGATTCCGACAGAAATACTTACTTTGGGGTCCCCTGACACAGGAAAAGTGATTTAATTTCAAAACGTTCGCCTTTCCGTCCGTCCGCCCATATGTCCGTCCGTCCGTCTGGCGTCTGTGAACACTACTAGCGTCTAAACCATGCGTAGGTTATTTTTCCAAATTGAAGACACCCGTGACGATCTGGCTCGAGTCGAAACATTGAGATTTTGAAAAAACATTCTTCACAATTTCGGGGTATATGAAGCTCTCCGGACATTTTCAATATTTTCTTTCAATTTCTTGAAAGAATAGAGTAACATATACTTATAAATGTGCCCTACGTTTTATTTTCGCAGTTTACTCTAAATTTTCGAAAATTTCTAAAATATTAATTTTTTCGGTGGCCTCCTACAACTACAAAATGGAAGATAGAGATTTTTCTTTCAAATAAAATTTTTGTTCTCCATAGTGAATTCTTTCATTAAGGTCAAGTACATTTGTTTGAAAATTTTAATAGTTTTCCCGCAATATTGCGTGCATTATGAACAATTTTAAAAAGTACAAAAACAAGATTTTCTCAAAAACGGCTCGAAACGTTTGGTAGGGATATTGCTAAACGCACTCTATAAGATGACAAACGCCATATTGCTCTATTCTTTTCTTTTATCAGAAATTACAAAAATGAACGAATAATGCTAATTCCACTCGTTAATATGACTTAAATTTCATTTAGGCGTACTTTTCTTGTTTTTTCAACATACACACAAATGTAAAGTTTTTGAAAGGTCTCTCACACCGTTGATATATACATTTCCAACAATTTGTAAACACTATTGTATTTGTGAGTTAAAGTGTTTTAAGTTACTTCAAATTAAGTTTTTCGAAAACTCAAAAATTTTCTGTGAAAAAGAGCTTTAAATTTCGAATTTACAGTAGCGCTTAAACACGTTTTTTAAAAACGACTCCAAATTTTTCAGAGAAAATTGTCAATTAAGTCGAGTTTTTACTTTAATAATCTTAATAATTTAGTTCTTTAATAATCTTAAAATTATATTTCCGCTCTGCAATGAGGAAAGCGAAAAATTAAGAAGAAGAAAAAAATAGATAGGCGGTAGATAACAACAGGCAAGGATATGTGGCAAGTTCGAATAGCTAACCGGGATCAAAGGAAATAGATACGGGAAAGTCTATGTCATTCTTTAGCACCACTTGTTTATATCTTCAGTTTTATACCACATAATTTGTTTTCATTTTAGATATAGATTTGTTTAGCCAAAAAACAGTAAAAACTGTATGTGATGTATGAGTTTTTCAAATTTCATACTAAAAAATGTAGATTTTATGCCTCCATGATTATGTGAAAATTGGTCAACAACCTGTTTAACACCGGGCTCAAAGTGACTTCCACGAAAACTTCTGTGATTTGCTTTGAACGTCGGGAATGCAATTTTATTGAAATAAGTTTGAATTTTTTTCTTTTTTAATAATAACAAAGAAATAAAATATGTTTAAAGTTTTATAAAATATTAATAATACAGTAATAATTGGTTATGAATCTTGTTCTCCGGTAATTAAAGGTTTTTCTCATATATCGGGATACATTGTTAACATACACTTATGAATTCTTGTCAAAATCCATTAAATCTAGAATTCTTGGATAAGCAGAATAATAAAGATAAAATGGATAGTAATATGAAGAAGAAAATAAGATAGTGAAATAATCTAATTTATTTTCATTTGTACTCGCGTTTTTTCGCCCCAAAGGATTATTTTACCGAAAAATGTTATTTCGTTTTCCGTTCTGAGTTATGTTGTAATGTATGTTTGGAACATTTCTGTGAATTTGGTAGGTAAACTATTGAGATTGGTGCTTTCAATAAAATGAACACAATTGGCACTATTATTAACAACATGTTTATTTTTAAACAATAAATAATATAATAATAATAATATTAATAATAATAATAATAATAATAATAATAATAATAAATATTTTTTATTATAATTTTGACAACAATATAATATAATAATGATTACAAAAATATTAACATTTTCGGGCAAAATAACTGTAATAATATTACTTTTATTTAATACTTGAAGTGTAATATCTAATCCTCAAATGGCGTTCCAACTCATCTTTTAATGCATGGGGCTATGGTTTCTATGGAATTGACTGAAAAGGTATTTATTATTGCCTGCACTTTTACTTTAATTCGACTGTTTCAATAATAAACGGACGATAGTTACTAATAAAATTGAATATTATGGATGCCGCAGAGAAACAAGCGCCTTTTAGCATGTCAGCGACATCTAGGAACATTTCTGTGAACTTATTCCTTTCGAGATTTCAAATCGATATTTCTTTATAGACTTCTATATTCCTCAATCACTTGGAGATACAAAGACAATCTAACGATTTCAAAAGTTTATTCTTGTGAGATTTTCGGCGAATACGACAAATAACTCAACGCGTTGGCTATTTTAAATGAAAATCGAACGTTGGTTTACGTAAATTTTAGTGGGATAATACTTTTAAATAATTATTTTGAATATAAACGTCCATAGTAAGATCTAGCAATTTCTAACTTGTAGTTAATGCTGAAAACAATTGCCTTATGATGAACTTCAAAGAATTAGCCTAACTAATAAAAAGTGTTAAAAATATTGTTTGGATTTCATATATACACGCTCTACAGTTTTTCTTCATCAGTACTTTCAGCAATTGAGTATTATGGCTTTAAACGTTTTTACTTGTTCAAAATTATGATTATTGCAATTTCAGTTTTAGCTCCTCAGATTCAAGAATTTATTATTTTGGTGTCATAAAGTGATCTTCAGTATGTAGATATAGTTACTTTACTTTAGAGTTACTGCTTTAAAAATACACGCTACATTTCGTATATTAGCCTCTCGTAGTTTAAATTTTCTGCGTGTTTTAAATTACTATATTTATTTCATTTGAAGTGAATTTATTCATTATTTTTCGTGAACGTCCATTTCAGCGGGGCTAATGGTCTCAGAAATGTGCTTATCACTGTTAAAACGTTTCAGTTTATAAGGCAGAAGGTGTAACAGTGACCTAATGTCATCGGCCACTTTAAAAAAATCTAAGTATAGCCTCCAGCCAGATCATTCGGGGGAGGGGGGGTACTCAATTGATGTGCTCTCCAAGCTTTCAAACGAGTTCTCAACCAACTTTGTCGGCGAACCTGGGCGCATGGAATTCAGTACCAAACGTCGGGCGCTTAGTTCACTGCATAGCACGATTTTTATTCGACCTTTTTATCTGAAATAGTGTATGTACATGTGAGTCATAAGAATTAATTTGATTATTCTGTTTTTAGTGTATAAAAGTCTTCCTTATTTTACGTGACCAGTTCAGTACTGCATTCGTTGATCAATGGACGGATCAATAAAAGCCAACAGAGTGATTTGGTGTGTCCTTGAAAGCTTTGTAGTATAGTTCTATTTCATCATTCTGGCTGAATGCCCGAAGCAATTACTACACGGAAACAACCCACCCATGCGCAGAAAAGCGACCATTGAATTCGAGACTGTCCAGTTTCAGAATGGCTTGCTACCAGTGCATCATCTACACTCCGAACCCATCCTAAGCGTAACATCTTAGTAGAAAATGATTTAGTTGATTAAGTGTCATTGCTCTACGTCATACTAAATATGTGCTATACATGTATGTAAAAACATTTAATTGTGATTCAACACTTAATAATACGTAACTGCCACATTAAGAATGATACACTAACTCGTTCATTGTAAAAAAAATCATCTGTAACAAAATCTTTCGTCTTATGTGTGCCGTTATTTAAAATAAAAGCAACAACTCATGTAAATGATCATGAATTTAACTATTAAAAGTAAATCGTCATGTTTATTTGAGAGTGATTCTGACCTATATCTACATTCATTCGACAGAACGTTTATTGTCAGTTATTCGAGGAGAGGATATCCACTATTATGTGGGAAGATTTGGGGGAACGACTGTGGGCACTCGTCCAAATCAAGCAGTTGGCAATAATAAAGACACATTGGATATTATCTGCCCTCCTTCTATGATACAGCTTCACGCAGCTCAAAGCCCCGGCTTTGATGCCACGCCCTCTAAAATGTATAGTTTCAGGTAATAGCGACAGATTGAATTACAATATATTTTATTCAAATATATTTTGAATGGAATTAAGTATTAAGATTCTACTGATATAAATAACCTACTAATTGGTATGATTTATATCATTTGGTTTTTCGATAGTACGTTGTTAAATAATTACATAATACAGTTCAATACGTATATTTTATTTTTTTCTTTGACTCATTTCCTTATTTCTATTTTTTCATTATAATTTCTTCATTATTATTCAATTATAATTATAAACACTTCAAATAGTAAATTTAGTCTTTTCGCAATCAGTTTTGCAGACCGCGCCTACATTCAAAACAAGGGAAATGGTATTTCGTACACAATAAACGTCACAGAATGTCCGCCAAGTCACGGGAAGCGGAGTATCCAATCAGAGACGAGCAGTCGAGTTGGAATTCTGTGCCAAGTCGAAAGGCTGGAGTGGCACCGAGTGGGCTGATGTGTGAGAGAGTGTGGCTCGACGTTTGTTAGTGTTACTGTGAACAAAATTGCTGTGAATATTCGCGAAAATGTTTAGTTGGCTAAGCAAAAACGACAGCAGCAAGTCGCCGGATGTTTTTGAAAATGTTGTTGAAGGTCTCAGGAAAATTTACAAGGCGAAATTATTGCCTTTGGAGCAGTCGTATCTCTTCCACGACTTTCATTCACCGATGTTAGATGATCCAGATTTTGATGCGAAGCCCATGATCCTGTTAGTGGGTCAGTATTCAACTGGCAAAACAACGTTTATAAGGTACTTACTGGAACAAGATTTCCCCGGAATACGTATCGGTCCTGAGCCTACGACGGATCGTTTCATAGCTGTCATGTACGGCGAAAAAGAAGGTGTTATTCCAGGAAATGCATTAGTGGTGGATCCTAAGAAGCAATTTAAACCCCTTACAAAATTTGGCAATGCGTTTCTCAATAGATTCCAGTGTTCATTAGTGAATACACCTGTACTTAAAGGTATATCAATTGTGGACACGCCTGGAATATTATCTGGAGAGAAGCAGCGTGTGGATAGAGGTTACGATTTTACTGGTGTTTTGGAGTGGTTTGCTGAACGCGTCGATAGGATTATCCTTCTATTTGATGCTCATAAACTCGATATTTCTGATGAATTTAGAAGATCCATCGAAGCTCTAAGAGGACATGATGATAAAATTCGTATTGTCCTTAACAAGGCTGATATGGTAGATCATCAGCAACTAATGCGTGTGTATGGTGCTTTAATGTGGTCACTTGGCAAAGTGCTTCAAACTCCTGAAGTTGCCCGGGTGTACATTGGATCGTTTTGGGACCAGCCTTTAAGATACGATGTGAATAGAAGGTAATAACCATTTCCTAAGGTACCAAACATTTCCTTGAAAGAGCAGATGTTAATGTTACATTTTCTTTAAGGTTATTCGAAGATGAAGAGCAGGATCTCTTCCGTGATTTACAATCACTTCCTCGAAATGCAGCATTACGCAAGTTGAATGATTTGATAAAACGAGCCCGCTTAGCCAAGGTAATGTCTAGAATTCTCCTAATTTTATCCGTTGATAAATAATTGAGAACTTTCAGTTATATTGTTGGCAGTATTTATGCTTTCAAAGCAGGAACAAGAAAATGTCTTAAGTGTAAAATTAATACCACAGAGGTTCACTGTGTATTAATTAAAATGTGATTCACTGACTTATGGCAAGTTGCTGAAGGATTTGTTAATTGGAGAGAATGTGCATTTTCAGTAGTTTTTATTAACCATCAATATTGTTGGTGAAGAATAATAAGAGTTAAATTTTTTTTTTCATTCCCATACTAGGTACATGCATATATAATCAGTGCTCTTCGAAAGGATATGCCATCTATGTTTGGAAAAGAAGGGAAAAAGAAAGATTTAATTAAAAATTTGGGACAAATTTATGATCAGTTACAACGAGAACATCAGATCTCACCTGGCGATTTTCCTGATTTGAAGAAAATGCAGGTACATCTTACAGATGTTTTACTATTTATCATTTTAAGCATTTCTTTGTATGTTACCACTCTTGTCTCTATTGCATTAGGAATGTCTTGTTCACCATGACTTCAGTAAATTCAATCCTCTGAAATTACGTTTACTGGAAGTTGTGGATAAGATGTTGGCTGAGGATATTGCAAGGTTGATGGCCATGATTCCTCATGAAGAAGTTACCACAGTTGTTGAGCCTCATGTAAAAGGTGAGATTTTTCTTCTTCAGTGTTTGTGGTCTGAGAGTAGAAATATTATCTAATCAGTTGTGAATTTTTAAGAGAAGGATTTATATCTGTGCTGATGGAACTGAACTGTTTGTATTATATGATTCAATGTCTGGCTGATATGTTGCTCTGAATACTTGATCAATTTTGAATTTAAATAATTGTCATTATGTGGAATATTTTTTATAAAATCAACGAAGGGTATGAGGGCATTAGTTTTCAATTTCTTGAATGTGTTTACACCCTAACCAATATGACATTGCTGACTAAAATGTTATAAATTAAAATGAGAAATAATGAGAATCATATGGTTAAATACCAGCAGTGAAACTTTCAGTACACAAAAGTATGAAGTTGCTTGTACATGCTAATTTGACTTACCTTGGCCTCTTTAACACCCTTACGTTATAATTATGCTGTACATGTGGTGATGAGTCAATAGACAGTGATTGTGTAGCTCCTTAAAATGGCAAAATAGATTAGAAGAGCATTGAATGTATTTTAAATGGTTTTTATCATTTTGGTGGCAGGTGGTGCATTTGATGGTGTGGAGGACAAAGAAAGCCCATTTGGTTACAAACGCGGGGAGGGTATAGATGCTGGTCATGGAGAACCAGATTGGATTGTGAACAAGGAACGCTACAAATATGATTCAATTTTTGAAACTTTGGAACCTGTGGATGGCAAAGTATCAGGAGCAGGTTAGTTGCAGTATTTTGTTAAGTATTATTCTAGTTACAATAGTGATGTATAAATTAATATATATTTTTTTAAATTGTACACATTAATTTACAGCGGCAAAGTCTGAAATGCTGAAATCCAAGCTACCAAACTCTGTTCTTGGCAAGATTTGGAAATTATCAGATATTGATAAGGATGGTTTCCTAGATTCAGATGAGTTTGCTTTGGCGATGCATTTAATAGGGGTGAAGTTAGACGGCCATGACTTGCCTGCTGACTTACCTGACCACCTCATACCACCATCTAAAAGAAAATTCTAATTAGATAATATGTCATCAGTATTTTTTCTTTCAAAAATATACTTATTTTTATAATAAGATCTTCAAAGTTTTCATCAACTGTGTGTTCTGAGATATCATCTGGCTAAACACTTAGCAAGCATTACGTATTGTCAAATAAGTTGTAGGAAAGCATAATGTGGTTATTTGGCTTGTAAATGAGGAATGGATATTTTAATGACCTACAGTGGAATTGAATGCTGTAGCTGTTGTTGAGGCAATTAACTGCTAATTAAAAGTATGAAGTTTTTACCATTTGGTGTCTTAATTTGACAATGTGTGTTCTGAAAGAGACTTTCCTATGGCTTGAAAGGTACAGTTTCTGCAATAAGTAATCAGGAATTTAATCCATTTCTTTATATAAAAGAGGAGTATAATGGAGTGTCATTCGTTGTGTAGAAGAAGACTGTGCCTCATACATTACCAGCCTCACTGTTTGTGAGTATAATATTTCATGCTGAAATTGTGATATTTATTGAAGTTACATGTTTTGGGTACAAGAAACTTACAAAACTAGAACTAGTAGTTTCATTAGGACATTTAAAAGCCCATGTCAAGGTATTAAGTTTTAGTTCTTGTAGGTAATCTATTAGTTCACTTTTTAGAGGTGATAGAAAGTTACAATGGCAAAATATTATGAACTGTGTGCAAATTATGTTACAACTCCCTTAATATACATTGCTGTTATTACTTCAAATATTTTCTATACATACAAAAGGCTGATTGCTGCTATTTATAGGTGAATGCTTTACATGTTATTTCATAGTAGATTTGTTCTATTTTATTTGAAAACGTGAATGAGAATTCTGCTATTTGTATCTTTAAAAATATTATTTATAGATTTGTATGGATCATTATGAGAGAAATGGTTTTAGAATGATTGGAACCACATTCGTATGCTGCAGTTGCATATTGCTTTCAGCGAATATATTTGTATATTATGTATTTATGTGCTACACAATAAAAAATTGTTCATTTCTGGATTGATGATGGAGATTTTTTGTTCACATTCTGCATTGAGTACAGAATAGTAATAATAATTGATAAGTACCAATTATTTTTGCATATGCCTGTCTTGTTTGTATGTGTGTAAATATGTATAATTGCATGGGAATGTTAGTGTAAATATTGTGTAGTTGAATGTTAATTACAAAACATCATGGTATCCTAAAGAGCATTTTATAATAATGTGACAACAGGATCGTTGATTATTTTATGAGAGAGGTTGTTGCATGGGTCAACTGATAGCTGAGTGCTTCATGAATACCTGATATTTAATTGCAATTCTTGTGTTAAGACGCACATTGTTTGCCATATAACTGTATTGTAATTTCTCATGAGGTGGTCTTAACCATGTAGCATGCAATTCGTGCAAGTTATGGTATGCTTTTGAAGCCTGTGAATGCATCAATGTTATTGATGTTCCAAAACATAATTTTTGTGTGTTGTAAAATATAGATTGTTCAATTTCATTTGTACTATATGATAATCATGTCCATGCTATTAGGTAGTCTTGCATTTGACTTATCATATTGGCCTGTAAAATATTTGCAGTCAGAAGTGCTATCTAGCTTCCTGAAAGTATACAGATATCTCTGAAGAAAATCTTGTAGCAACATGTTTCACATGGAAAACTCTGACTCTTCATGCTTGGCTTTCTTGCTTTTGTCATTTGCTTGTCACCCTCTCAAACTTTAGATTTATAAGTTAAATACCATATAACTTTATGTTTGTATCTTTTTCCTCAAGTTATTGAATGAAAGGAAGCTATAAGGCAGTTTTGATTTGCTCAAATCTTTGAAACCTATTTATGCATGTTAAATATTGATTATATTATTTATTGCTGTTAGTATTTTGAGATTTTGTTATTTATACGTATTGCAAATTTGTAATGAATGACCTGCTTACGATCAATGAGATTTTTAAGAACAAGTTATATGTAAAACATTATTTCTAAATACTTTATTTCAATGTGTAAATATTTACTGCACATGTAAACTTCATTGCACCTGTTTCACCAGTGGGAAGCTCTGGGCTTCTGGCATATGGTAACATGCCAAAGACTTGTTTAAAAATATTTCTCATTAAATAAATTTTTATGTGAATGCATTTATTACTCTGGTCTCCATTCAACACTAATGTCAGCTATTCCAGGGTGGTGGTCTAATATAGATGGTTGGTTAAACAAAATTCCATGGTTAAATATATGCAAAATATTTGGGTATTTTATTTTGCATTATTTGCTTAATGTTTATAAAGTTAAAGTTCATGTTAACAGTTAAAATATCACAGGACAAGTAGCTTTTTCACCATAGCGAACAGATCCATTGTTATGATTAAACAAAGCCTTTGTGGTGCATGATTATGCAAAACCTTTTGGACCTTGTTTCTCTTCATTATGACACCTTAGTATATGAAAATGTTCGGGGTACTACCAAATGTGGTCGGGCTTATCTTGAGCTGCTATTTAAGATGGCAAATGTTAACATAATGTAGACACCATTATCTCCCAAGGCCCTGGTCCAATCTTATGAGTTCATGCATTTTCTGAAAATGTGAAGTGTTCTTGAGGTACTAAAAGGGGCATTCCATGATATTTTTGGGAAAGTGCACCTGAAGACTATCATAGATTTTTATGAAATTTTGAATTGCAAACTCCATATGTCCCAAAGGAACTTTCATGAATTTTGTAGCTTTTTTAGTCAAATCCTTTTTGCGATTCAATGATTTGTCTGACCCTGTACAGTGTCACTGTCAGTAAAACTATTAGATGTTTTGCATATTTTGGGAAAGTTATTATTTTCTATTATTAGTTTACATATAAGCATATGTATACAATTTGTTTTGTGCTATGCAATGAAATTAACACCAATTTTTCATTAATTAATAGTTGTGAATACTCGTGTGTCATGGGGGAGTGGGGTGCAATATCATTGGATGTTTTTTTGTTGTTTTTTTTTTAACTTTCTCGCTTACTATTTACGCTAAAGAGAGAAGGTATTGCTGTGTGTAGAAGGTGATACTGCGGGAGGGAGGGGGGCGACCACTTCTCGGCAGAAGAACTTGTTGCCAAACGAAGAAGTGCATGAAACTTTCTCACGTAAATTATTTCCTCTAACACGTATAGTCAGAATTCACAATTCACGTTTGGTGAATCCTTGATACCGAAAAATTGTATTACGGTAAAACAACGTTAATTGTGTCAACAACGCTAGCGCCTAAACCGTAAGCTGGATTTTCACCAAAATTGATATTCCGCTTTCGATCTGATGTTACGGCGCCTTGAATTTGAAAGGGATATGTTGATTTTTGGCGGTTCTTTTCAAGAAACCTGAACATTTTAATTTTTTTAAAAAAATGGCTCCAAATCCTTTCTTTTGATAGAGCAAAAGACTCTTAAGAAATTGGCGTAGGTCGCATTTTCATTGCACTCTGAATTTTCGAAAATAAAAAATTGCAAGATTTTATTTGGTGTTTTCTACATTTTCAATAATGAAAATCGACATTTTTTCCATAATGAAAACTGTTCAGCAAAACATCTTGAAGTAACGTGTTCAATTTTTCAAAAATATTAGTAGTTTTACGTAATTTTGCATGAAACAGGTATTTTATTATATTTAGTAAACAATTATTTTCTAAAAACAGCTTCAAATTTTTCTTTATTTTTTTCCCCCACGTATGTAGCAAAGAAAGAGATGCCGGTCCAATTTGAACATGCCAAAAATACAATGTTAACTGAAATCAGTTCTTTAAAAAAGTTCATATGCACTTAATAAAATGTATACGTTGAGCACTTTATAACGTTACGTGTTGTTAACGTTACGTTAAACTTACGTAACGTTACGCGTTGATAACGTTACATGGTAACGTTATTGTTACAATATTTAAACGTTAAAAAAGGGCATTCAACTGTATTAAAGTCGGGAAGAATATATGTGTAAACAGAATATATATGCGAAGGGCAGTACGTAATGACATCGTAGTTTCATAGTACATATGCAATCATAAGGCGATATATTTAATCGCCTTCAGTTCTGGATGTTTATTATATTTGTGAAATTATCCTTTCTTTTCTTTACAATGTGCTGCAAATATCTCATTGTATCAACAACCACTCTCAGAACTATTACCGCTCAAGAGATGAGATGCTGGCTACTCGCTGTGTAAAAAAACAGGCTGATAACGGTAGCGCCTTACATACAAGTCGCGGTCGCCCATGTGCTGCCGCTGGGGTTACATACTTATCTTCTTAACGCTAATGAGTGCTCGAAATCCTCTCCGAGGCATCGGAACCCCTGGTGACGATTCTGGATAATTTGAATTACCAGATATTGTCAAACTTTCAAATCAAATGTTGTACATCAGCTTCTGGGGCAATGACCCCCATCTCAATCACGTTTTTGTAAAGTTTCCCTGAGCAAATTCCTTTAAGAAGAGTCCTTTAAGCAAATGCCGAGATAGTCCGTTTTTGGACAGAAATTTAACTTCACTATCTGTGCGCGTTTTCTTGTGGAATGAGGAATGTAGAATCGTTCTCCCTTAAATAAACTTTCACACTCATTCAATATCAATTCAATTAAAATATATCGTACGTCTTCCTTCGGAGGGAAGTAAAACCGACTGTCACATGTGGTAGATTTACTGCATGTAAAAGTTCCTCAAGCCTAAATTAAGCCTCTGAGCAAAATTCATATTGCCTGTTTCATCGCACGAGTGATACCTCCTTTCTCTGCCTGACGGTCGTGGCGGAATGTGAGTGGACAGGAAGAGCAGGCCTCATGGCCTGAGCCTCGCCACGGAAAACAAGACATCATTGACTTGAATTGAATGATCTTATTTTTATCTTCTGAGCCATTTACTATTTGCGTGAGTTACGGCACGATGGCCCTGAGACAAGAATTTTTGATACAACTAGGAATATTTTGAAATGTCAAATCTTGTTAAAGAAGACCCAAAAATCCTAATAATTACGATAATGAGGTTGTGTATTAGTAAATCCGATAGGTTTGGGATCTAAGTTATGGAATTTGTGTGTGAGACTTCTTGCATTCACAAAATGAATGGGCATACATTTTGTACAATAAATTCATTGAATTGAAAATATTGATTTTTTGAATTTTCATTTACTTAAAAAAGTAACAGCGCTCTCTTTAGCTCTTCCAGAAATTAAAATTGTTCGTTCCCACTGAAGTTTGAGTGGTATTGTGAAATCCGTTTGAAAAGCATAATTCTGTTATGTTGTGAGACATCATCACTGAGAAAATATATGGCAATTATGAGGCTCTCATATTTTAAAAATATAGCTTAGAAATTGGATATTCATTACTTGACCCGAAATATTTCATGGGAATTAACAAAGTTTCATCAATCTTTGAATAAGATGCGACAGAGATAAATTAATATTTTTCTAAAGATAAATTGTATTTATTTACACACCTCAAAAGACATTAAAATATTTAAAAAACTACATTTTAAAATAATGACACTAAAAACATTTTTATATAATTATTTTAAAATAAATAAAATTTGATTTTACTTCTCAAAACAGAGCTGTGTGGCTGATATCCTTTCTTGATAATATTGGAGATGATGAGATGATGTTATCTGAAAATGAAAAAAAAAAGTAATATAAAGTCTAAAATTGAAAGAAAATGAAGTTCAACACACGAAACATGGTTAAAATATACCTCCATTTTATATGCTGCTGTTAAATCGACGATTTTGTGTCTGAGAAATTGTAGATTCAACGGCTACATGTGCTGTGATGAGTTGTTCAATTATTTTATTTTATCTATCACATAATATAACGTTCATATTTATTTGTTAGTTCTTAGCAACATAAACAACAATATTATTCTTTAGTGAAGTCATATAATACTAGGTGACCCCCTGCGTTTGCATCGCACTGAAGGAACAACTGTAGAAACGTTACACCCGAAAAGTACTTGTTATGCACTATATTGAAAACGGAAAACTTCCATTGTTCCAATTTGTTCTTATTCTCTAAAACTGATGAAATGATGGAGGTTTACAAATTCGGAAACATTATTGTAAGTGAATACAGAGTTAAACAGGTTTCTCAAAATATTACTGAAGTGTCTCTTTACCTACAAATCTGTGTAAATACCTCTATAAATCTCTGTATGTACCTTTTTATCTATGTGTGCATGCTTTACCGATCTGTGCATGTAGTTTGCAGTGGAATGTTATAGAATATCCTACTATCCACCTTAATTTAAAACCGTAATTCATCATATATAATTACGTTTACTGAATTTTTTTCTTAAAGGGACACATGTGTCAGACGATTGCTGGACATTGTATTTATGTACCTACTTCACCAATCTTGGCATTTAAAAGCAGTCAATCTTCGTACTTAAAACACTCGCTAACTGCGCTTCGTCATCTATAACCCTTCGATGCAAGGATACCCTTGTAGTATAGTGTAATTACATTGTAGTTGCCCTTGAAAAAGACGAAGTGAACAAATGACAGGAGATAAGCGTTATTTCTTTTAATTTTCATATATTATTAAAGTTCAATGATTTAGCTACAAAAACAGATATAAGAGAAATTGATAATACATGTGGGCCCCATTACCTTTCATTTAAAGAAAAAAAATAACGAAATTTGGTTGAGTACAAATCTCAAATCCTATTCTAAATTTGAAAATACTTTTAAATAGATGGAAGATAGGTGGGGCACAACTGTAAAAATATTTCATCTACTTCCGTTCTCTAAAGCCAAGCTTTACGAAACTGGAATCCGTTTAATATTTTATTATTAAAACACCAGTCTTCTCATAATTTTTGGTCTTCTGTTAATAACAATAATCAGTTTTGTAATGTAAGTAATTATAGAAATAATCCATGACTCTTATTAACTACTGTTAATAGTGTAATTTCAAATTGAAACCATGCACTTGTCATTATAATAAGGATATCTCCCCATTTCATTCTCAAGGTTTATTTGACAATCATTTGGAGATCTCCAAATTTGTGTAATCAATTCGCATTTGCTTATCATCAGATGAATAGCGAGTGAAATAGCTAAGAATCTTCGAAGGTCGATTCTGATTTACCCCCAACATTAAACATAAAAAAGAAGGAAGTCAGTGCGAAGAATACGACGCATTTTAACGGGCATTTTGATACAAAACAATTATAAGAGCACCTCTTTCTTAAATTAATTGAAACTTAGTGGAATAATTTAATTTTTTATGATTCATTTCTTCCATCAGAAATTTATTCATTGATTTTTATTAATTGGAATTAATACGATATACGTTTTGCTATACGTTATAATGCTATATAATTTTCTATACGTTTTCAACGGAAAAACACGTTCGACAAGTTGTAAGACTTGTCAAAAGAAATAAACATGACCATTGTATTTCTGAATCGCGGTTATCTATTGTATTCTGACGAAGCGATTCATTGACAAAACGGATGCTACGGTTTCACTGACCTAGGCCGAGTGAAAAGAAGGATGTGAGAATTGAGAACCGCGAGGGGAGGCGGTCGGTCATTTGTGTGTTACGCCAGAGTGGTTTTTATGAAGTGAGAGAATTGCAGCAGGTGACGTTTGATGAAACCTTCTACCATTTCAGATCAAATATTTAATTGGCTTCGTGCATACTCTGGACATACGTCTTCGCGCAGGTCTGGACATTTTGCCTTCAAAATGAAAATTTTGAACGAAAAAAAAATCCCGGAATTTGTTCTCCTGTACAGCCAAAAATATGTTATATTTTTGCTTCCCCATGTAATTGTCATTATTAAAGTAGTATACTAGAAGTATCGATTTTTCGATTAGTAGAGTCGACTTTTCATTTTATGAGTGAAATCATGGGTGAAAAATATTGTACAGTACAAAATAAGGTATTAACAAAAACAAAAGCTTCTGAATTATGAAACTGCTGGTCAGCTAAATGAAGAGAATGTGTGAAGAAATATCTCCGTTGTAAAATACAGGAGAATAGAAAAATGTCAATACTGGTTCATTTACGTTGTTCTAACGCAATAACCGTCTCTACAGCGATTCTGACCGGAAGGTCCGAGGGTTCGAGTCCCGACGGTGGCCGGTTTTCATCACTATAGTTGGGCCGAAATCAGCCACCTAGGGACGGAGAATTGTAGCAGCCGGTTGCTCTGATCGGTAGTTTGCAGTGGTTTCTTCGGTCAACATCAGGCGAATTCTAGAGCAATACTCTAAGAAAAAAGGCCATGGACCGCGCGTGATCTTTCCTTCCCCTGCCTTGTCCTATCCTCTACCCTTACACTAACACGCAGTACACGAGCGCACATGCCTGGTATTGATCGGAGAAACCAGGAAAAACTACCGATCAGGGCAGCCGGCCTTTAGAATACTCCTCCAGACGGCGACTGAATTCAACCTAGCTGACAAGCTAAGGTAGAAAATCCTACCACTGTCGGGACTCGAACCTAGGACCTCCCGGTCAGAGGGACTGCAGTGACTGCAGTTGATGCCACGATCCATCACTCCCAGTATGAGTTGGAAAAACACCGTCACATCCCACAATAAAACATTCACTGCACGACTTATGAACGTAGGAGTTGACGTGACCGGAAACATCAATAATGAAAACAGTGTGTCCTGTAAATGTAAACCATTGAAAAACGACCAGTCTCTCTATTACTTTCTAATTACTAGACCTCTTAGATAAATAGGACAGTTGAAAGCCCCTCGACCTCATGTAAAACATGAATGCGCGTGCACGCAAAGTTCTCTCTGGTAACATGTGTTCGGGAACACTATTATAAGTTCAGGAGCGGATTTTGAGAGAGGAAATTCAAAATGTTCTCGAAAAATTTGTATATTACAAATTTTGTTAAACGTCGCAGGCTACTTTCAGCTCACACTGCGAAACGATTTTATTCTTTTTAATGATAATCCGAAAATATTTTTGCTTGAAAGTTTGTGACAAGCTAAAATTTATAGTTACTGAAATATTTTAGGGGGGATGCCTCCCATTCTGTCCCCCCCCCATAGATCCCCACCTGTAAGTTACATATTACCAACATGATTCATTCGAGTTGAACTTCATAAATGCAAAATGGTCGAGATAGTTAATAACCGTATATACTAAAGGAAAACTATTCCAAATGGATTCATAAAAGTGATGGAAGGGCGAATGAGAAAGAGTTATAGGAGCAGCAATAGAAGTAACGGGAGATAACAGCTGTTAGGATTTTTATCCTCTATTTTTCAAAGAAAATACTCGAAAAATTATCTCTTCTCTGCAATGGGCTTGGCGAGTGCCAGATTCACTGATGCTTAAGCTTACCTTGCCAACCGTGAAGACTAACGAGACACAAGTGCTTTCCAGAAAATAGAGTTGTAAAATGATTCTCGAAAGATCTCTTAAAGATTAAACATACTAATCTAACAGATCGTTCAAGTGGTTAAAGCTGGATAATGGTATGGTTAGAAAAAAACAACTAATATGTGACTTTGAACCACGTACAAGGGAATTGTTCTGAATAGAGGGGGAAATAGGATAGGAAAGAATTAAAATACATTTCATGCGTGATTGTTCAGAAAACACGAAATTTGTAGGTTTTGGATAATAACCTATCATCCGCTGTAGCTCAATCGCAACTATATTAGCTACAATATTCAACTAGTGGTGCTACAACAGCACGCAATTTCTCGCTTTAGTAACGAATACTTAACATTACAATGGAGCGAAGTCTGTCCATATTAACACATTTCAGCCATCACTTGTAAAACTTATCGCAAATCATAGAGCACTAGATGCGAAAACTTATTCCTTTGAAGCTAATATACCAACACAAATTCGACAATACAAAACGGCGTACCGTACAGCAAGAAAAGTTATTGCAACAATGGGAAGTAATTGTAACAATTTCAAACTGCCCTCTGTGGCAGTGCAATTGTCGTCATTGTGACCTAATACCTAATGAATGATCTTCCTCTGCAAAAGAAGAACCGGAAATACGAATTTGCAATTTCAAAGATTTAGAAAGTTACGCCAAACTGAGGCTGTAAAGGATAAAGTTTCCCCCTTATTTTATACTAGAGACTCACAATACGGGTTTTTTCAGACGAAAAATTACCGCTTTTACCACGGCATTACAATACTTTCGCGAGAAACGAGCTTACGAGAAGCTTTCTGTATATTATATAAATAGTATTCAAGAAAGTAAAAAGGTCTTAATCCACCTCGACGTTGTCCAATTTTGATAATAGGGGTTTCTAGCAATCCCATTTTCAATTTGCATTGGGCAAACATATTGGCTTCCCGTGCGGGGGGAGAGGGAAGAGAAAAAGGATGGAGGGTCGCGCTCTCGATGTAACACTGTGCACTCGTGTGTGGTGGTGCGGCCCACAACGTAAGGCACGCTTTCAGGAGTGTATCGCTACGGCAGCGCCAGTGTAGACAGATTTGGATTGGAGCACAGCTACTACATCCTCTTGGAAGGGGAAACTCATTTTAGAGCAACTGAACTAGATCGAAGTTTCTAGGATTCTTTTCCAGATCGTTTCTCTGTTTGTACGCTCTAACTAGTCCCTCTCAGCGTGGACATTGGTAACTAAAATTTCTCTAGGATATCCCTAGGATCAACGTCACTGTAGAGCCATTGATGTTGCCTCTAGTCTATCACAGGCGGTCCGTCAAAAGTGAAAGAATTGCTCTTGTTAACGTGATTCGAAATGACAGGTTATCAACCAAATTCTGTTCGCAAGTCCAAATAACCTATATTTTAATTGAATAATATCAACATTCCAAATTCAAATTTCGTTCATGCTCTCAATTAAAATTTTGAAGCGTTTCAAATTTGTTGTTAATACCCACAAAATGTATTCATATTTGTGTTTAAAATTGTGCAAAAGATTTAAAACATTCAGCTAATGTGTGCGTCGGTGCTCCCTGGAGTATCCACATTTGTTTTAGTCCAGTGCACACGTGATACCCGGAAGGCGCTTGCCTCTCAGAAACAGTAGCAACCGGATAAACTAGCTTAGAGCATGTCACTGGAATGCCTCTGACCGGGAAGTATTAGGGTTTGAGTCCCACTGGTGGGTTGGATTTTCGACACTAGCTAGGTTGAATTCAGCCGCTGCCTGGAGGAGAATTCTAGCGGCGAACCGTGGCCCGTTTGTTAGGGTACTGTTCCCGCATTCACCTGGTGTTTATTGGAGAAAGTACAAAAAAACTACCCCTCAGTGCAACCGGCCGCGAGAATTCTTGTCCAAACAACGGCTGAATGCTACCTAGCTGTTAAGCTAGTGTTGAAAATCCCGCCACCTTTGGGACTGGAACCTTAAGACGTCCCAGTCAGAGGCACTGCAGTGACATCAATCGATGATCTGAGCAACCTCTCCCGGCCCAAATCCATGCGTTCGTGATTTTTCCAAGACCCGTGTGATCCTGGTTGCCCGCAATCCGAAGGTCTGCGTTTCAAACCCTGTTGGGAATACGATATAGGGTAGCAGGAATAAGAGGCGCGTCCTCACCCACGTTAGTAATACTCGTTGGAACTATCTACGAGTATCATGGATGGGGGGGCGGATGCTGGAAAAGTTAAATTTTTTCGGCGTATTTTTTTCAAAGAGTTCTTTGTTATATATTTTTCAAAGACCGCTCTTTAAATAATTTTTCGAAAATAGAAGAATATTTTAGGTAATATTGCTTGAAATACAGGCTATTGAAAATAAATTATTTGCTGAAAAGCAGCTCCAAATGTTTTCTTTAAATTCCCCTCCCAAAAATTTACAACTTTGTACTACATGCGCTACTTTTGTTTTCTACTGACGATCTTCCAAGAAATATAAGTCTGCAAAAGGAGAATTCCAACTTCGTGACACAGAAGTTTGAAATAATCGTTGTTAGACGAACTTTTTCCATTTTTAGCAAGCACAATTGTAATGACGAATTTGTTGATGTATTAAAAGTAAAATAAATATGTTTTGCACCAAATGAAACCATGTAACGAGTTTTACAAGTGATGGCTAAAATGTGATAATATGGACCTAGATTACGGTATTAAATATTATACAGTAATTAACATTGCAAAAAAAATATGTGGTGTTGAAGCACCCCAGCTTTTAGCCTTTATAAATCATACGACAATATAGAATAAAAGTGAATGTATACTAGCACCAGAAAAATAAATTTGTCTAACATTTTAGATAAAAATGATGAAAAACAACGAAAATGGTGCCTGCTATCGGTCACATTCGAGTTTTAGGTATTTTATATAGCTTATAACATTCACTTCGGAATATGACAATTAAAAATTTTAATCTAATCAGTAAGCCAAAAGATGTTAACAAGAAATCATGAAAAAATTCAATCCCTCCTATTTGCTCGCGCAGTACGGTAAAGTTCCAGGGCCCCATGACGAAGCGGCCTTTGGCTTACCTGTGGGCGGGGATTCATTCTTCTTCTTCTTCCTCTGCGATGGCGGCGGCGGCGGCGGTGATGTTGGCTAGCTCCCCCAAGACAACGCCGGTGGCGTCGCCCTCTCCCTCCGCCAGGGGCGTTGGCTGGCTGTCGCCGCGGTGCCGCGTGTGGCGGCGCGACCCCGCGAGGAACCAGCGGCGCCAGCGACGCCGCGACATCTCGCGGTCCTCGGCGCGCATTTTGATATAGGCGGCCGACTCCTCGGGCGGCACCCACCGCCCTTGCGGGAAGGCCGACGGCGCCGGCACCCGAGGCCCCGGCGCCGGCAGCTCCAGCCCCGGCTTGGTCGGCGGCTCCTCCTGGAGGTCCAGTCAAATGGACCGACATGGAGAGAGAGAGAAATAGGTTCCCGTCCCTCCTACGAGGCTGCAGGCGCCGTCAGCTCCAGCCCCGGCTCGGTCGGCGGCTCCTCCTGGAGGTCCAATCAAACGGACTGACGTTGAGATGAATGAACTTGGTCGCCACGTATTGTAACGACTCGTGATCTGGGTGAAGTTAAATAGTTTTGAGTTTATTCAAAGATAATTCATTTGAGTTAAAAGGGATAAATTATCTGTGCAGTGCAATTATCTACGGACAAATTCTCTGAGAGACCATTGTGATATTCGGGAGAGTCCATGCGTCGGTCCCTCCAGTCCTATCTATCTCCATTTCTAAGGTATCGTCTTCTGGAGGAATTTAAAATACAATTAGTTTTGAAGTTCATGGAATTGCGCTGAATTCCACTGGACAGAATATGAATCATTAATAGATCTGTGAAGATCCCGATCAATTTTCTCTCAGGGACTTTCGCCACCCCACAACGAATCTTCCCGCTCAGGCTTGCTTATGGGCTCGTCCTCCTGCGTATCCACAAGCGTTGACATTATTTCTACGACCTCCCCTTCACATATAAAACAGGAAGCACTCAAAATACACGTTGTTGGTGGATTTTTTTATGTCGATTCTACTAGATTTCGATGAGACGCTTTAATGTAATCTTCATTTCTCAGAATATTAATGGTAATGCAGTGTAACAAAATATATTGTTTTAAATCATGCCATATAAATCTAAAATTATCTGCAACCAAAGAGGCCCTGTAGATGAGAGGAAGAGGATCGGAGTGGTTCTCTCTAATCTAGGGTAATCAGAATTTTTTTATGACATAAAACACGACATTTCTGGAATATGGGAGAAAGCATGGGGCAAAACAGGAAATGAGCTTACACAGAAAATAGGCTTCACGTGACAGCACTGCTTCACTGACACAAGTATAAGAAATTACTTTTTATTCGTAAAAATATATTTTAATTGCCAACTTATGAACAACCTGCTGAATATAAATTTGTGGCTTATCATCCAGGAACATCACTGTGAACTTTGCTCTTATCAGAAGATTTGATATCATGCAAGAGTTTGGAATGACATAATAACAAGTTGTAGCTTTGAGCTCAGGTCTTGGAAATGAGTTTTTAAAATTACAATTGCTTAAATAATTTCGGAAGTAAAACGTTTTTCCCATCAATTCAAAGGGAGTTCACAATTGAAAATACTCTTTCCACCAAAACATTTTTGCCTGGTACAACCAGAACAACCAATGTTTTTACATATATTGTCTTTACTTTTAAATGTGAGGAAGACATCACATCATTTTTTATCAATCTCTACATTATCTTTTCTCAGTCTTCAAATTTTCTTGAAATGTAAGAGCTAGCGAAGTAGCAAAAACCAGCGTGCTGCCTTCTAGGGAGAAGGGTTATAGCCAAGAACGAAAAAACATTTCGCACCCCGTTAATATTTTGTCGGAGCAACGGGGCAGGTAATGAAAAAAGGACACCCCCGTTAAAAACGGGACGTCTAGTCACCCTACTCTAATCAGAAAATGTCTGATTCCTCTAGATTGGACGCTTCCTGGAAGCTTTTGTTCTATGCCGCTTCTCTCGCACACATCTCTTGGCCCTAGTTAAGCGCATAATAAACCATTTAGTGTAGCGGCGTTTGAGGAAGAAGTCACTGTACTCAATGCCTCCTTCCCGTTTGAACTATCGCAAATGCAGGAAAGAAAGAAATCAGTGGAGCAATATGTTTGCCAACTGAAATGAATTTTTAAAAACATGCTTCGAACTTCTGTTCTAATGGACATCAAGAAACGAGAAATCCATGGATGTAAGTCTCTTTTTCCAACTGAAATCTTGTAAGTTATCTCCTTCGGGTATCACTGTATATTAATATTTTGTTCATTTTCAACTTACATTTAATGCTAGAAGGGTAGAATCTTTCATGTTTACCATTATTTCCTAAATTAGAAGAAATAAGAGGTACTAAGGAGTAAAGACTGTTAGTGCATTTCATACTCTTATACGACCGTATATGGTTAAATTATTTTAATTTTTTAAATTTATTATTTCATTTTGTGATATTATTTCTATTTAACCTTTTTAAATACTTAAGATAAAAGGTATAGATACATTTATTTAAACTGCAATTGGGTATACCCGGTGTATCCAGTGGCAGTTAATTACATAAATACGGCAATATAATATCATGCAAATAGTATAATAATAATGACGGAAATTGACGATAATAAAAATTAACGGTTGTAAAAACATCAAATTACATGAAGAAAAATGAAAAGAAAAGTTTTTCGACTAAATAGGAACATACTTTTTGCACAGTTTTGCAAACAAACACTTAAATAATAGTGATGAATTATACTTTTCTGAAATATAAATAGTAGTGATTTTTTCCTCAACATATCTATTTGCACGTTATTTATTTACCTTAATAATATTTATAAAAATATAAATATATTTGAAAATGTATTTTCTGTTATGTATTTTGGCATGCACATTTTGCACGTGATTTTGTATTATTTTTTGTTATTATTATTATTATTATTATTATTATTATTATTATTATTATTATTATTATTATTCATAAGTTTCATTACAATTGCCGGTATGCAAACTATGTGTAGGAACCTAATAAGTTTGTAATCGGTGGGTTCATTACAATAAATTAGAAATAAAAGGTAGCATTGATTAATAGCATTGATGTCCTTCTCGTATGCCCACCGATGGACACTGCTGCCCACAAGAATCCAGTGTTCAGTCCGGAGCGCGGTTCCTGTCGCGTACGAGTGGCGTGAACGCAGGCGCTCTAATTTGGCGCAATTCCATCTCTGCTTCTTGTTTTCAAGGCAACTGGCTTTATTGCTGCGATAATTGCGAATCATACTCGGGTCTTGATGCGTCCGGCGATTCCTCGCTCTCACAAGCACGCGTTGTAAATATGAATGCGCGCAAACGGTCGTTACGGAAACAACTTGATGATAGTGAAATGTGAAGCTAACATTGCGCACCATTACTCTTGCAGAATTACCCTTTGTTCGTAACAAGCACTATTGATATTATAGTCGTGTATATGTCCCACGTTCACCTGCAGTCTAAATAATTGTCTTTCATCAACATCATATGGATAATAAATTAATAAAACAACATATGTTTTGACAAATTAATGCACGAAAAGGCTTATATGAATCTAAATGAGTGACATAAGAATAATACATATATATGGCCTGTATCATTGATTGATGAATTGCAACATGCCAGAAAATTAGCGCTAATTGTAGGGACACCAAAGCTACAGCATTAGAATTACAAGAGAGTTTTAACATTTTATTTATTTATTTTTTACTTGTTTAACGTCACTTTTCAACTACTAAGTTCATATTGCGACTACTGTAAGTAACATTGGGGGTTAACAGTAACGGTGTACGGACACATACAAACATCCATGCCCCGGGCGAGATTCGAAACCTTGACCCTTCAGGCACGAAGCAGCTACAGCTTTAGCCTTAGCGACCTCGGCTATCCAGGCCGACGTACCAGTGGTTGCTTTTCTCCAATTCGTACCCCGACTTGAAAATCACGTTCTCGGGGTCCCACCAGAGACTTTCCAGACCAAGGTAGTCGGTCATTTGAGGAAAGGAGATTAGAGCATAGCTCGACCCCGAGGGTCGAAGAGGGAACAGTGTGGGAAAGGAAGAACCACACTACGCTCGTGGTATTTTGTTTAAAGAACTGCTTCGGCATCTTGGAACTGAACTGAGAAAACCATGATCGATTTCATGAATTGGAACAAAAGAGATCTCATCCAGGCAGTTGCAACTTCCAATCTAGTTTCTTACTTCTAACTCTTAAAATTCTCTGTACTTAAAACTGCTGTACACTTGATTACTTGCTTCGCTTATTTGTACATTTATTTATAGATGTGTGTATATTTATTTATGTTTATGCGTGTATCTATTTAAGTATATATTCATTTATATATTTA